GACGCTTGATTCCACATGAGATGAACTGGGCACGGATATGGCATCGTAGCTGCAAATCATTCTCCGCTCCGTCTACCAGCATGTTGATGAGGATCATGGTGGAAACGGCATATTCCATGAGCAGGTTTTCCATGCCGATACCACCACTGCGATATTCTTCGCTCGCACCGACCAAACTTCCCATTTTTCCACGGCCATCGATAGTGACTTCAACGATTCTCATCCAAGCATCGAATCGGCCAGTCTCGTTATGGTCGTGCTTAACTTTGTCCATGGATTGGAGGACCTTTTGGTGGCCTTGGCCTTCGGCCCAGTGGCACAGGAAGGTGAGAACCTCACTGACAAGCTTGCGGGTGTTAAGGCGAGGGGAAGATAATGAGTTGACAAGTGCGACGAGTACACCCTGGTGCTCGAGCGCATCATCGGCTCCATATTTGTTGTTCATGAGACCTTTCAAACATTTCGCGATATCGTATTCACGGTCGAGATCTTTGTCGCCGGTTGGAGGAGCAGGAACGGGCCCAGAGGCCTTCCGTCTATTGATCTTCTGGAGGACGTTGGTCAGAGCAACTTGACCCTGTGCTTCAACGAAGGCTTTCACCCAACTGTGGAATATGGTCAATATTTATTCAATTGTTTGCTGCGAAAAGAGTAATTTTCGGCTTACCTGATGGGCTGCGTTCGCAAACTGACGCTCAGACTAGCAAGTTGCTTTGACGTAATAGTGTCATCCATCACCTTCTTCACATACCACTCTGGGCTGCCTTCTTCATCGGCACGCTCCAGAAGACCTGAAAGACCATCATGGCCATGTGTTTGACGGGCATTCTGTCGTCTTTTCTGCTCTCCTTGCAGTTCCGTCAAGCGATCTTGGTGAACCAAAGTCCATTTCTTGGAGGCAGGGTATGATAACATTTGCCGCTTAGCCTGGTCGGGAAGATTCTGCCATCCACGCTTTTGCATCAGGTCCAGAAACAGCTGGTCAACGATACGATCATCTCTAGGCCGAGTAAGGAAATTATCGGGAGGACGGGGGACGGCTGCGGGGATGGGTTGGTGCTGTGAGGGGGCGTTTGACAATCTGCCGGCACTTGCACTACTTGGAAACATTGTACCGCGATCACTGGAATGCGAGCTTGTGAGGGTGCGAGATGAGGGCTCCGAAGGGAAATGGTTTGAGCCCCGCGTATTGGATGAATGACCTGAATATACACTAGCCTGGTCAAGTGATGTTCGAGAATTCGAAGAGGAGTCGATCGATGAGTTATGTCCCATGCCAGGGTTCGCCGCTGAACTTCCCGGTCGTCCCCATTGTTGATATCGAGTGCCACGATCCCCTGAGTTGCTGCTAGTCATCGTCGTGTTGGAGCCATGTGGGGGTGGTCGGGGACCGGAGGGATGAGAAGCGTAACCGTTCGGCGCAGAGGTGGAGGTCAAGGTTGGGTACTGATGGAAATCTCCCCCGGTTTTGCCAATGTGGTTGGGGGAGGGTTCGTGGCGGGAGTCGGGTCGCGACATGCTATCGATCGGGATGGGGGTTCTTGTATCTGATGGAAGACTCTCAAACGGTATCGACGTTATAACACCTGCGGTCGGGGCGATGCTTCCGGGATCGACATCGTGGGTCATGTCGACAGATTGGATCGAAGAGCGCTTCGAATAGCGGGATGAGCGAGAGCCCGCCGTGCTTCCGGGTGGTGCTAGGCTATCGTAGGAGCCTCCATATCCGTCGTATCCTTGAGAACGATCATCTGTCGAGCGCTCCTTGTATAGTTTCCTCCCAAAAAAAGGATTTCCCGGCCGAGGTTTGCCTTGACTTATCGGCGGCTGCATGGGTCGGCATTTTGGCGGGTTGTCGCTATGAAGTGGCAGGGAGCAGCATAAAGAGCGCTCCCTTGGCACACTCAGAGAGAATCGGAGGTTGTGAAATCGATGTACAAGCCGTAGTGGGGTCGATCGCTATGGATCTGGTGAACGAAAATGGTGACATTCACGATAGTCCGAAGTGGTGTTTTTGTCCCTCCCTGGCTAGTTTAGTATACCGGCTTCGTTTGTGACGACGTGGTGGCCCTGAATCAGAGGGGTCAATGACGGGAAAGGGCTTACCGGATGCCTACCACACAAAGAAAATCAAATCCAGAAATATGAAACCGGAGAGGGTTGCAATATGCAAGTCCCAGTGATTCCTGACGCCAGGGTCGATCAAAGCACGGGCGTGCCTGATAACCCCCCTAAATATCCCCGGTACATAGGTTAATCCGTGCTTAGTCATGGTATCTCCCATCTCCCGGAGACCGGGGAAAGTTGAAGATTGAACACAACTCGGTGAGAACAACGCAGAATATCGTCATTCTGCTGGAAATGTCGCACATTATTTGAATCAGACGGTCCTCGAATTCTACACCGGAAAAATCTTAGACCTGACTCAATGTATATTGCCGATCCCGACGCCGCTCTACTCCCCGGCCCGAAACCAGGACAGTAAACAGAACAACTACAATCCATACTCAGTCCCCCAAAGCCTTGATTTTACTGTCTTGCTCCAGCTATTTGGTACTCCAGGGGACCAGCCTTCAAAATGGGATCCTCCATGGGCTTTGCAAAGGTTTGCTTGTCTCCCTCGCTCCTCCCGCGTGTCCACTGCCTCGTCATCCTCCCTCAACAAAGGCACCCGGGTTGTTGAAGACCGATGATCTAACAATGAATCTCCTCAGACAATCCTTATCCCCGCATCAATCGCATTGACAGTTTACCTCCTCTTCTCATTCCTGATCTTTCCATTCCTCCGACGCTACCAACAGCGCTATTCCCAATACCTACCCCTGCATGCTATATCCGCCCATACGCTGTCGCTGCGCGATCGCATAGCCGATACAGCCATGCGCCTTTTCCTCCCATCCTCTTGGAGGCGAGGAACGCATCTTGACGACCATGATAATATCAGCATAGATGATGAGGAAGGGGAACTCATGACTGGGATGACTATGGATTCCGTACGCCGGGAAGCTTTAGAACAACGGCGCGGGATGGCCGTCGACTCGACAAGTCGCCTCAGTCGAGAATTAGAAGAAGGTTTCATGGATGATAGTGATGAAGAAGAGCATGATGGGAGGAGAGGTGCACATGGCCAACATTGATTGTTCTGCGCTATTGCTTCTTCCAGATCCAGTTCATATTTTATTTCTTGGGCGGCGGTTTTCTTCTTTTCTACCATCATATCTACAGCGATTATGCATATTCGGAAATTGATTGCATTGTTTGGTTATAGACTGGTCTTTGTCGAATCACCTATGGTGCCTCATACTTGGTTTCGCTTTTCTTAGTGGGAACTAATACATAGAGGCGAATACAACAATTATACTGTTGAACTCCCAGGAATGGAAGTGCATTTTGGTGACGAGTTCCAACATCACACGATCAATTGATATAACCTGTCAGAATACCAACCAAAAGTATGGGATCCACTCAAAATGCGGTCTTTGTTCTGGACCTGCCAATCTACTGAGAGATCGACAGTGTACCCCACTTCGGCCATCTGCCAGACACAGAGCCCCTGCGTTATCAAAGAAGCAATTGAAACTAAAATATGAGGACCTGCAAAATCGACGCCTGAAATAGCCACTTTTGGTGCCGGAAACAGCCGCTTATAGACCTGTAACTTTAGATAGTAAGTTGTCACTCGATCGCCTTCCTTTCCAGTACCCTTTACTCCGTACTCCGTAGTTATTGGCCCTCGAATTTATTCAACCCCGAATAGTTGGTGCGGATAGATTCCACTATCAATTGACGGTCCATCACTTTCTCTTTCCACTTGAGGTAAAGTTTGGCTTCCCAATTGAGTACTTGACGAAATCCAATCCCCGGAGGCCTCGAACTCTTTTTCAAAAGAAACCGACAGATTCATTATATAGACACCCTCGGTCCACCTGGATATCCTCCGATGGAAGGGTGGATACTTATCCCATAAGGTATGGTCAGAGAACCGATAGGCTAAACTGTTCAAATATTTGACTTCTCCAACACCTAGTCCTCACCATCTGTTGGTAAAGTGAAACATTTGACAGTTTTCGTCAACATTCAATTTCGACATTCAAGCATCCAATGCCTCTTCACCCATATCACGGCCGAAACCAGACTGTTTAACTCCTCCAAATGGAATATTGACATGTAACATGCCCCAGCAATTAATTGTGACCTGGCCAGGTTCCAGGGCTTCGGAAACACGCTGTGTCCGATTAACATCATTCGTGAACACAGCGGCACTGAGTCCGAATTCGGTGGCATTGACCTTCTCAATGACTTCGGTTTCGGTAGTGAACTGTGCAATTTACTGGTAGCAACAGATAAGGAGGCTTTGAATAGACGCAATGGGACCGCTGCGTGCCAACCTCTTGTTTTTGCTATTTTTGCAGTCTCGGGGTTCAAATTCAGGCCGAGGCATTCATTTTCTTTTTATTTTCCCCCTTCCTTCTCTTTTTGTTTTGCTTGTGGTTGCTCTTCTACCTAGTCCATCGTGCCTTCCCAATGTATCTGTTTGCTGTCCCCGAGGCACAATGGAAGTGGGTCAGAAGTGATGGTGTGTTGCCTCAGGCATCAGATATTGCCTTCCTGCAGCTAAATAGTAGCCCCTATCAGCCCCGACTAATTAAAATTGTTTGAAAGACGGTTTTTTGCACAATTACCTGGTCCAAGCCTCACCCAAATGGTGATTTGCGAAGGTCTGGATTTGGGGGCCATTCAGGCCAAAATGGCTCAGTCTTAAAAAGCTTAGTTGACCTTGCCGGATCGGACTCGGACGAGTCCTCACTCACGGTATTTTTTTCCCCAGATTTGGCGCCCTTTTTCGCATTTCATTCCATATCCACCCCTACATTGATCTTCTACGGGGCGCTGCTTCGCTTTCGCTTGCAAAGAAGGTTGGGAAAGAAATACAGTTCACAAAACATGATTCCAGCTTCTACTACGAGAGGGCCTTCCACGAGCTGCGCGAAATGCCGAAAATGTCGAAAACGACTAGTCGTAAGGATTACAAAGCGGATCTGGTTTACACATGCACGCTCTTTAAGCAGATTGAGGTGAGCAATCTTTTTTACTTCCAAGAATGTTCAATGATGCGAGAATTTACTTACCGAAAATACTACATATAGACCCATTACTGCCCAGACTCGCTTAATAAATGGCATGCGCATATAGCCGGATTGAGCGCAATTATGAAACTGTACCGGCCTAAGAAGGGCGATTCTCCTATAATAGCTGCAATATACGGCCAACATCAAAAGTCCAAAGTGGTGAGAGCATCCTTTTATTTCCAACGTCATAATCTCTCCGGTATACAGATAGTCTGACTACAACGTATCCGTATCTAGCCACTTTCCCGACTCATGAATCTCCCCAAGCCCCTAGTCCAGTGGCTCAGAGAGCTTGGCGAAGGATTGCCATATGAGTTGATGCAGCTTCTTACGGATATGTCGTGTCTCTTCGTTACTGTTGATACTACCAGGGCCGATGAATCTCTCAATAATCAAGCCTGTCAGTCGCTGCTAGATGAATGTCTAGACCTAGAAAGGTGGTTTCAGAAATTCTTGACTAATGTCAGTGCATGTGGCACCAACGAAGATCCTCCTATATATAACCGCGGCGAAATCAAAACAGGAATGCCAGCCACATACGACCTATTCGGACCCGCCTACCAATTCACCTCAGTCGGCGAAGCAAACTTGCACATCTACACTTGGACTTCACTATCATCTATATACCCACTGATCCACCAGGCCCACGCCCTAGCAGAGCCTACTTCGACCAACAACGTGCCAAAATTTCTACTTGATGATCACTCCCCGCAACACGCGGCCCATCACCTTTCCGCCCTTTACATCAGCAAAGCACTCCGCTGTATCCCATACTGCTTACAAGAGGGCATGAACTCATGGCCATCTTTCTAATCTATTTCCCCAGCCGCGCAAGCCACGCGAGTATTCAGTCAGCAGAGCCGGAACTGGGACCGATTTTTCTGGGCAGCGGAGGCTGTACGGTATACTTCGCTTTTGGGGTGCGATTTTGCGGCGAGGCTTCATGAGAGATGTTTGGATATTTGGCTTAATCCGCCCAGACAGGCTAAATCGTACAGACTGCCTGATCACAAGGAGTTGTCTGAGCGTGGCGTGTGGGGTAGAAAGCAAGTCTGATCATAATATGTTGGCGAACCGAAAAACGTGGTCGGAGAAGATAATGAGTAGTACTGCCGCCACCCTTCTGACACAATTATGGTGCATTGGATGAAACGCCCGGGCGGTTCCAGATCATACGGATATGAAGATCAATTCACTTTGATAAACGTCGTCCAGGGGATATTTAATGCCATTTTCATCAAGCCATAGGTTTCCTAGATGGGCCGTGGCCTCGCGAAATGTACCGTTTGTCATTTCAGCTGTATCACAACTTGTGGGGTACCCCGCCGACCGCCGATAGAGAGTTGTCAGGAGATCTGCCCGGACCCTAGAGGAGGGGTATGCATTTCCAAGCATGTGGCCATCCAATAGAATATGCCAGGCGCAGCGATCTGAGGGCACCCATCTCTTGACACGATTCTCGCGCTGGCCGTAGATAGAGAATCAAGGAAGGTATTCGTCTCGTGGAGGAGGACGCGACGCGGGGTACTGTGCACGCTAGACGCCGCGTTGACAAGTGTTGTGAACGCGCGAGTCCTAGTAAAAGGAGTGGTCAATGTTTAGGCTCTCAAGTTGATGGGAAACAATTCCAACTGCTCCTCTATTACGTTTTGAGGTAGTTGTTAGTGATTCTGCCCGGTTGAATAGGATTTGCGCATTCCCAGGCGACAATGTTTGATGGTGGTGGATTGCGACATGGAGACTCCAATGTTGTAGGGTTCTCAGATTCTGTGAGATGAAATTTGTGATCGGATAATAGGACTCTTGGGTCTCTGGGTAATTTCCGGTGCTGGCTGATCAGTGTTCTCGCGGACCAGGCTGTAAGTGTCAGTATTGCGACTTTGCAAACATGAATCAAAGCCAGTAACACTGTCTGGTTGCAACCAAAGGTATCGAATGCTTCAAACGCACGCAAAGCAAGAGTTCCCTCTATTCCGAGTTCTGGCCAGTATTGTGTAGGTGCATGTTGTCCAGTTGTGGGTTGTCAATGACAATGACAATGACAATGCCCACTATCCAGCACAACTTGATCCCACGGGAAATCACCAGAGCGGAATTGATTGCAATGTTGGGACAAGAAAATGATCTCCTCACAATTCCGTCTGAAAGTGGTATTCAATCCCGGCAACGGGATCCGTATTTCCAGGGAGTAATTAGGTGCTTCAGTGGATCCGTGAGGGCGTTTTCTCCAATTTCCAACAACCTCCTCACGCGAAATGAAAACAAGGTGGGCGCAGTAGAGAGAGCGGGTCCGACGAAGTTGGAGTTTGGAGAAAGAGAATGGCGAAGGCCGAAATTCGGCGGAAGGACGGAGATCGATCGGGAGGGCCCCCGCGATGGAATTCAGGGGCCGGGAATCACGGCATCTTTAGTATCTCCAGTTGTCCGAAGCAGAGTTTCAATTGCCGCTGGTTGACCCCATTCTTGGTCTTGGTCTCTCCACGGCGCGTAGAATCATGCTTCTTTTTTTTCTCTAAAAAAAAACTTTTTTTACAGTAGCTCAACTGTTTGCGTGTCAATTACCCCTCAGCGGGGTAGCTGACATAATGAGGGGTAAATCCAGACGAATGGAGTAAGGTTTGCTCAGCGCACCAAGTTAATGCAGAGTTGGATGGGCTGACTGCGGGATGTGCAGCGGTACATGCCGGGCCAGTATGAAACAGACTATCGTGGTCGATCGTGTGTACATACATGTAACACTGGAGAACCTTGTTGTACATACATAGTAGATCAACTATCTACGGAGCCCCAAAATGGACTACCCCGCATGTACCATGTACATCTACCATGGCCCATGAGCAACCACAAGACCAACTATCAATTGAGGTATTGTAGTATATGCGCCAAGTCTTACTATAGCTACTTAGAACATGGACAAGTATACAAGCTACAGATGGGGACCTTACTAGTGGCTTAGTCTGACTGGTGGAGCCCAGAACGATCCAAATTGCCTACAGAAAACACGAACCACACATAGTCACCTCCCCCTCCCGTCCCTCGTGCGGAGAGATGAGCTTTGGTCGTGAGTGGCTCGTTCCCCCATTCCACCGGCCCCCCGACCGACAGCCCCGTCTCGTTTGTGCTGGAACTGGGATCTGAGGGGAGTACAGCGCGTGTTTTTGGGTTCGGCTCCATCCACATTGTCTCTGGTGGTGTTGGTCGAAGGAGGGGCTCGCAGAGGGGCCTTCCGTCTATATAACAGGCTTGCCTAGCCAGTCATCCAACTCTTTTTCTTCTCACTCTCATCATCATCCTCACCTCTTTACTTCCACATCCAACTCACTTTTAAGGTATGCCAAACTCAGATCTATCCATCAATCTATCCCCCGCCCTTACACATACACTTCCTTGCCCCGAGCTTTGTCCATAGCCTATTGTATGGCCTGCACAGTGCTCCACTCTTCCCCGCTCCTCACATTAGCCGCCTTCCTTCTCCAACGCCGTTTTGGGCCATTGACTTCATCGATCACCGGTTTTCCCGGGGTCGCTGTTATGTATAAAAGACATTCGCTGACCTTCTCTAGCTTCGTGCTTCTACTATCTTCTACTCTTTCATCCCCAAACATCTTTCACAATGGTATTTATCCGTTCCCTTTCCCAGCTTCGACGGCCAGCCGCCCAATTTATATCTGGCTCTCTCAAACCAGCTCCTCTTGGATCCTTCGCCAGGACTCCAGTGGCTGGTGCCTTTTCCAATGCCCGTACGCTAACCGCATCTGCCAATCTCCAGGGCAAGGTTCTTCTGGTTCTTTACGACGTAAGTCATTCTTTCACAGCAGTCAAAAGCAAATGTTCCGATGACTGACTTATACAACAGGGTGGTGAGCACTCCAAGCAGCAGCCTGGTCTTCTCGGTACCACCGAGAACGAGCTTGGTATCCGCAAGTGGCTCGAGGATGCCGGTCACACTCTGGTGACCACCTCCGACAAGGAGGGCGAGAACTCCACCTTCGACAAGGAGCTTGTCGATGCTGAGGTTATCATCACCACTCCGTTCGTCAACCCTTGCTCAATCGACAATCACACCACAATATAATATCAACTAACATGCCTGTTCTCTAGCTTCCACCCTGGCTACCTCACCGCTGAGCGCCTGGCCAAGGCCAAGAACCTCAAGCTGGCCGTTACCGCTGGTATTGGCTCCGACCACGTCGACCTGAACGCCGCCAACAAGACCAACGGCGGAATCACCGTCGCTGAGGTCACTGGCTCCAACGTTGTCTCCGTCGCCGAGCACGTCGTCATGACTATCCTCGTCCTGGTCCGCAACTTCGTCCCCGCTCACGAGCAGGTCGCCAGCGGTGGCTGGGACGTCGCTGCTGTTGCCAAGAACGAGTACGACCTCGAGGGCAAGGTCGTCGGTACCGTCGCTGTCGGCCGTATCGGTGAGCGTGTCCTGCGCCGCCTCAAGGCCTTCGACTGCAAGGAGCTCCTCTACTACGACTACCAGCCCCTGTCCGCCGAGACCGAGAAGGAGATCGGCTGCCGTCGCGTCGACAACCTCGAGGAGATGCTCGCCCAGTGTGACGTTGTCACCATCAACTGCCCCCTGCACGAGAAGACCCGCGGTCTGTTCAACAAGGAGCTGATCTCCAAGATGAAGCCCGGTTCTTGGCTCGTTAACACCGCCCGTGGCGCCATCGTCGTCAAGGAGGACGTTGCCGATGCTCTCAAGTCTGGCCACCTCCGCGGATACGGTGGTGATGTCTGGTTCCCCCAGCCCGCCCCCAAGGACCACCCTCTCCGCTACGCCCAGCACCCCTGGGGCGGCGGTAACGCCATGGTCCCCCACATGTCCGGTACCTCCATCGACGCTCAGATCCGCTACGCCCAGGGCACCAAGAACATCCTGGACAGCTACTTCTCTGGCCGCGAGGACTACCGCCCTGAGGACCTGATTGTTCACAAGGGTGACTACGCCACCAAGGCCTACGGTCAGCGCAAGTAGATCTGAAACTTATTAAAAGTTCTCCTTTGCGACTTAACAACACCAACACCAGACTGGCCTTTGGTTTTATGATTTTCCTTTTTATGAATTGTTCATATCTCATGATCCCGATTATCTTAGCGGTAAAATATCACAATATCACCATCTTCAACCCCAATATCATCTGCATTAGTATTTAGTCATTTGAAAGTCCTCCGTAGTTTCCAGGTACTAGTAGTCCATCTCCTTCAAGTTCGACCTCTTCATTAATTGGAATTCCCAACGTTAGCCCATTAGCAACATCACGTCTAAGTGTCACCAGGAATCCCGACTGATCTGCATAAGTCTGATTAAACGGATCATCATTCCCATACGCAAACATCCGCGCATGATCCTGCATCATCTGATCCGAAGGATCATTCCCCGCCGCAATCTGCGCCTGGAGATACGTAAAGAGTTCCTGACGAACGCTAAAATACCGATCCAAGGCCTCAGGCGCCTTGTCATTTTCCAACGGCCTATGTTCAAAATGCTCCCGCTCCCGCTCCATAACCGACGCCTTCCACGGATCCATCGTGCGGCGCTCCAACCCAAGCAAATAAGGCGGCATGGCATTCTCCACCAAACATTGAACATGCGGCTCAAAGCCCCAATCACCCTGCCACTGCGCCATATCCGCATTATTCTTGAAGTGCTCCGCCACATGCTCAACCCTCTCCTTCCAGCCCGCAAACCGCGCGTCGCAAAATCCACACCGTGACAGAAGCGGCGCAGTCGAGACCCGCCACTCGTCCATTGACGGATGGTAAGGCACACGGTGCACCAGGCGGAGATGCTGCTGCAAGTGATCCTTCCGCGAAAAGGAGCGGTGCTCGGTCATTTTTTCTCGACAGGTGAGGTACTCGTGCGTTTCGAGATGGTCAGCATCTACACTAGACGCGCGACAGAAGACACAGACGCTCAACCCATTAATCTCAACAACCCCGCCAGCCGGCGCGCAATTCCACCGCTCGATCGAGAGATGCAGTGCCTTCTCGTGCCGCTGCCAGTCATATTTGCTGCGAAACGAGTCACAGCAGAAAGTGCACTGGTAAGCGCGCCGTTCAAGTGCCGTCGACTGCGCCAGGCGATTAGCGGATCGTCTCAGCTTTCCGGCGGGGCCGACTGAGCCCCATCTTCGGGAGTGGCGTGGGGGGTCTTTGGTAAGGGCCGCTCGATATTTGAGACCGTGCAGAGGCAGACGAGTGACTCCGATTATCGCTGCTTATCGACGATGCTCCGAATTGAAACGAGCTGGTCGCGCTACTACTCGACCAAGCGGTGTCCAATGTGTCGTACTGCGGCATGGACTCACTAAAGGGGTAAAAGGGCGTGTTCTCCGCCGCGCGTAGAATATCGGTTGCTGCGGCTGGTTCGTTCTCCGGTGGTGAGTGCTGCCATCGTTCGAATGGGGAGAGTAATTTTTGGTCCAGGGACTCGGAATTGATATCGCGCGTAGCGTCCTTTTTGGGTAATTTACGGCGCCGCGCGTTCACGAACCAATTGAAGACCTGGCTTTTGTGTAACCCGGTTTGTTGCTCGAGGTCTTTTCTTTGCTGGTCGGTGGGATATGGATAGTCTTTGTTTTCGTAGAACCAGGACCTTAGGACCCTTACGGCGTCCGGGGGAAGGCGTTTGCCTCTTTTGCCTTTGTTGTGGGGTTCGGCGGGAGGATTGTTGTCTGATAAGATATCACCTGCGACTGATGATTCTTCTGAAAAGGCGAAAAGCGAGGAAGCGGCCGTTTGTTGCCCTGAGCTGTCCCCGTTGTGGTGGGCCTCATACTGGAAGATATCTTGGCATGGCCAATTCTCTGCAACGTCATTCGGACACCAATGGTCTATGTTGGCTAGTTCCTCGGCATTGTGTGTCCCCTGGTTTAAAGCTGTAGGTGGGAATTCAGAACTGATTAGATCAACGTGGGCACATTGGTCGGTGCGTGGGCTGTCTAGATTCAAGAACAGCGAGAAGTCAACGTCTTCAGGCTCGGGATTCTCGGCATTGAAAGACGAGGACATCGGAATGCTATCATGAGGTGCCCCGCTCTCGCTGTGTAAACTTTCCATCAATGTGCGATAGGCGTAGCAGATTAGCATACATCCATCAGGTTAGTCGACTGTTCGATCTTGCTGGAGGCGTGACCGTTGTGGCCGATCACACTGAGTCATCATGTCTTGGCACCGCGAGTCTCATTTAATGCCAAGGCTGAACCTTGATCAATCAATCGACATTAACAGTATTCAGCTTATTTTTTTAATTCATGAACACGGCGGACAGTAATGAATAGTATGACTGCTTCGAATCGCGCACGGTACTACTTAGGTAATAGTAGTCTACACTGCCTACCTGCCTAGGTAGGTACTAGTGGTAGTATATATTTCAAGTTCCAAGTTGGTGCCACCGTGGACTACCACGAATGTAGTATCTACTAGCCCTGGAGTAGTAGAACTTGAAGTGGCACCGGGGGGTATCCATTCCAGGGCTACCAGCACCTTTAGTGCCCAGGTGCCCACACTACTCCAGATCTACGGATAATGGCCATGGATACCTAGGTAGGTTTTCAAGTTATAATAACCTTAGAGGTGCTAGTACTAAGATCCGGATTCCAAGGTTTTACCATTGGCTACTACATATCTGGCAGAAATTCATCTTGCTCAAACTCAAGATGCATGACTTGCTTCGTTGCCCTTGGTTTGACCCTCGAATTAAAACTTCCATAGTAGTAGAATATCTGATCGGATCGATACCTTTCCTCCTCATTTGTTAACCCGTCCGTATCAACACAGTAATCACCATGGAAATGATTGCGCATGATAACCAGAATGTCAAAAGTCCCCAACTGGCGACCAAGAAGATGTTCAACTGGAAGGCCATTTGCGTATATCCAGATCGTATCTTGGACCCTTTGACCCCAGAAAAGCATCACACTGACGCCGGGATCGAATTGAACACGCTCGTCAAGCATCATCAACTCGAAAAATGTCTCCATTCTCAGGCCATTTCTTTGCGCAGTTAGATCGAGGTCCTGCTCTTTCTCATTTGACTTTTCCAAGGGTTTCTCGTTAGTTTTCCAGTACCAGGAGTGGAAGTGCGAGTCAATTCTACAAAAGGTCTTAGACGAACCAGGACTTTGTAACGGGAGCCCTCAAATGGATGATCCACGTCTCTAGTGTGTACTTGAAGTAGCGCCAGGCCATTTGCGGGTGGTTGTTGGACAAGCATTCGTCGCCAACTTGCTTCCTCCCGGATATAGGCTTCAGCCTTATGGGGATTGCGGATGATGTCCATGGACTGGGTGGAGAACAGTTCGGGCCGTTCTTGAGGGAAAAAAGAAGAGAAGACATTCGACAGGAGTGGATTGGGGACTTTCTCGCCGTCAATTTCCCCAATAGGCTTGAAGAATAAATGTTTTTGAATCGAGGGAAACTCCCGAATTGCATTATTCCAAGTTTGGCATGTCCTCTGTGTTATGAGAACTGTGCGCATGTCCGAGTGCAAGAGAATAATTTCCACGATCTCGGGAATGGCCAAGGCTTTGCTGGAGGCTAACTGATTAAATTCTGGCATGATGTGGGTTGGTTTATTTGTACGAAGAAATTGGAGAACCGATATGTTGTCTGCTGACAGGGACGATGCATAGCCACACTAGGAAAGGCTGCAGGCGGGGAGGATTGGGCTGTGCAGCATTATATAGCACTAATTGGTGTCATTCTTCATCAAATAAGGTGCTATAGTCAAGCTGGTTAAGATGCCTCGTTGTGGTCGTTTACTGTCCTATAGTGGATAGTAGCAATTTCCAATTCCGAGGTGGCCCCGGTTCGAATCCGGGTGGCGCCATATTCATTCTCAATTTCTTTTTTGTCTTTTTCTTGAACTGTGGAGACAGGTTTGCTTTCGACGGGACGTGCCTGGGAGTGGAGAGCCACTCCCGCCGCGAATGATACGCGGCGATTGATAATCCCGCTAATCTCCGCTCCGAGATTTCGGAGTTGCTGCCCCAGTCTTAAATTTCCCCAAGTTTATCATGATTTCTCCCTGCTCCGTCTCTTTCTTTTTGCGCCCTTTGCAATCACTCTCCGACCTATAAATAAATACTGTCGGATCTACCTACATCCAGTCATCTCGCCGAACATCATCCAGATCCTATCCGATGAGACCAGTGTCAACAGTGCTCGCGCAGTCGCTCATGCGCGACTGGAGCGCACAACTACATCAGAGTTCAAAATTTGCTAGATCCATATCAACCACAACATGTCACCCAAGTCGCCTTCGTGCGCGTCTCGAAATCCCCCCTCCCTTCCCCGTTACGAAATCTTGTCCTGAACCGAGCTGTAACTGTCCGCCAACACCAGCCATGCCCGAGGGATTACCAATTGACCACGAACAAGTCTTAAACGGGACAATGGCAGCCTACGCACAGCAACTAGTTATATGCACTGACCAACGAGACTGGACAAGCCGCATTGAAAACGACGGAGAAAACAAAAGCTGGGGTGACCTGGTGCGAGGGCTTAAGCGTTTGTTAAGCCGAGGCGGCCCATATCTTGATGTTTGTGACCCTACTACAACCATTTCATATGATCTATCTTCTGACTGTATGCATATTTGTCATTTTAGCCTTTCAATAATGTCCTCGTCTCTACTTCGTCTATCGCCCCTGCTACACAAGGCCCCTCCACTGCCTCCGCACTTCTTTTCCCCAGCTTCAAATACATCCCCTCCATACCAGTAGAAGCTGGAAAATTGTCTAATGGAGCCGCCGATTTGACTTCGTTTGTCCGCGCATTTCTTCTGCCTGAACGCCTACACGACATGCACTCCGCGCTACCGGAAGCCAAACGAACAGAAATGACCCGGGTTCCCGAGCTTTCGTCCAACTTTAATGGCATAATTGACATCAATCACTCGCCTACAATCCTGATCTGTGGTCACGGAGGTCGAGACATGCGCTGCGGTGTCATGGCGCCCGCTCTGGAAAGCGAATTCCAGCGCGTGCTTCAAGCGCAAGGGTTCAATTCTGCCAGCGGTGACGGTACCACCATTGACGATCCCAGTCATGCCAATATCGGTTTAATTAGCCATGTTGGTGGGCACAAGTATGCCGGTAATATTATCATCTACATACCGCCCAAGATGACGGTGGGAGCTTCTGCTGAGCCTCACCCGCTGGCGGGTAAGGGAATTTGGTACGGCCGAATCGAGCCCAAGCATGTGCAAGGACTAGTCGAAGAGACTATCCTTGGGGGTAAGGTGGTGACGGACCATTTTCGTGGAGGGATTGATCGCAACGGTGATATATTGCGAATGTAGACTTAAATATGATGGACTTAGTGCGTATAGCACGCATGGTGTATTGATAGATACAAAGTATGGATTGAAATGAAAATAATTTACATTTATCGAACACGTATTTAGACTTGAGTGTGCCATGAGTGAATAAATAAAAGTTAAATCTAGTGTACTCTATCGATTCCAATTAAGCTGAGCGGATATCCATGGAACACGCTAGTCCTAGTCGGGTCTAATGCTGCCTGGGCTCCGGGGAAGTTTTGAAGTTGGAGATCAGACAATCTTTCCAACAACAAGTGGTCGATACCGCTCCTGTTCAATAATCATCCTACGGTCGTGCTGACATGACGATAAATTCGTCATGCAGACACTCTCACGTATTCGATTGACGCCCCTGGCAGCGCACGCCCGGAGCTGCGCGCGCCCTCACCAACTCCGATTCCCTCTCGCGTCCAATGCCTTCACTCGCCTTGCGACAACTTCCTCTATCTCTCGAAAACTCGACCTTCCGGCCCTCGACAAGAAATGGCAGGCGAAATGGCAATCCGACGCGACTTTAGCCCAGCCCGCGCCCGAGAAATATACCGAGCCGAAGCCGCAGTCCTATGTCCTTTCGATGTTCCCCTACCCCTCCGGCACTCTGCACATGGGCCATGTTAGAGTATATACGATTTCAGATGTGCTGTCGCGATTCTACAAAATGCGCGGACATGACGTCCTGCATCCAATGGGGTGGGACGCCTTTGGGCTCCCGGCAGAAAATGCGGCGATTGAGCGAGGCATTGATCCGGCGGAATGGACGGAGCAAAATATGGCCAAGATGAAGGAGCAATTGCGCGGGATCTCGACTTCGTTTAATTGGGACAGGGTGCGTTGGATTGGAATGAACATTCGGCCCCGAATTCATTGGGTGCATTGACTGACTCACTATTTTTAGGAGCTGGCAACTTGTTCCCCCGAATTCTACGCGCAAACACAACGGATATTTTTGATGCTGTACGAGAAGGGACTTGCGTATCAGTCTGAGGCGCTTGTCAACTATGACCCCGTTGACAAGACAGTGCTGGCCAATGAGCAGGTAGGCGACCAATACTAGAACGCGGTGGAGTATGCCTGTTGACTTCGTCTTAGGTGGATGCCAATGGATTTTCGTGGCGCTCTGGAGCTAAGGTTGAAAAGTTAAACCTCAAGCAGTGGTTCTTCCGGATCACTCAATTTAAGGAAGAGCTCTTGAAAGACTTGGACTCACTTTCTGGGGGCTGGCCCGAGAGAGTGCTATCCATGCAGCGAAACTGGCTCGGCAAGTCCCACGGAGCTAAAGTAAAATTTCCAGTCACCATCAACGGAGAGAAAGAGGTTGATGTTGGTGTTTTTACGACTCGCCCTGACACACTATATGGCGTTGAATACCTGGCTCTATCGTTGAACCACCCCATCGTGTTGGAGGCAGCCGAAAAGGACCCGGCTCTTCGCAAATTCCTGGATGAGGCGGCCTTACTCCCACCTGACTCGAAGGCCGGTTATATTCTCAAAAGCGCCGAGGCGTCGCACCCCCTTTTGAAAATCGACAAAAACAGCCCCCATCTGCAGAGGAAGCTACCGATTTTCGCGGCACCCTATGTGCTAAGCGATTACGGCGAAGGTGCAGTGATGGCTGTTCCTGGTCATGATGCCAGGGACCTGTCATTTTTCAAGGAAAACATGAATCCTGAGTCGATTCCTATTGTCATTAACTCAGAACCTCCGAAATCTGAGGATGGTGGCCTTGTGGAATCGGTCATCCCTGCTCGCGACGCGACGGCTTTTACCCACGAGGGTTTCCTCTCTTCAAGTTGCGGGAAATACCAAGGCCTGTCATCCAAAGAAGCTACGAAACAGATTGTTACTGACCTCGAGAAAGTGGGACAAGCTGAGTTCATGGAGAACTGGCGGCTGCGGGATTGGCTAATTAGTCGGCAACGGTACTGGGGTGCCCCGATTCCAATCATTCACTGTGGAGACTGTGGCCCTGTCCCTGTACCCGTGAAAGACTTGCCCGTTAAATTACCCAAGATCGAAGGTGACTGGCTGAAGGGCAAGAAGGGCAACCCCTTGGAGTCATCCGAAGAATTCCTCCACACCAATTGTCCCAGCTGTGGAGGGCCAGCGAAGCGTGATACAGATACCATGGACACATTTGTAGATTCATCATGGTACTACTTGCGCTTTTTGGATCCCAGAAACAATGATGCTCCATTCTCGCCATCTGTCGCTCGCCCTGTGGATTTCTATATTGGAGGCGTGGAGCACGCCATTTTGCACCTACTTTATGCCCGCTTCATTTATAAGTTCCTCGCACAGTCTGACCAATTCCCCGACATTCCTCATGACAAGGGTCTGTCAGCACCTGCAGAACCTTTCAAGACCCTTCTCTCCCAGGGTATGGTGCATGGAAAGACTTTCATTGAACCGTCAACGGGTCGATTCTTACATCCGTCTGAAGTGGATATCTCAGACCCGGAAAAGCCCCTGATCAAGGGAACCCAAATCACCCCCAACATCTCCTTTGAGAAAATGTCCAAAAGCAAGCATAACGGTGTTGACCCGACCGATTGCACAACTAAGTACGGAGCTGACGCTACCCGCGCGCAAATTCTCTTTGCTGCCCCAGTGAGTGAAGTGCTGGAGTGGGACGAAGCTAAGATCGTTGGCATTGAGCGCTGGTTCGGCCGTCTATGGAAACTTGTCATTGATGCTCAAGAAATACTGCATAAATCGAGCTTCACGATTCCCGCCTCTGACCTGGACGCTTCAATTGGCCACGTAGCTTCTCTGCCCCCTTCATTGGAGGCGCTCAGCGATTCTGATGCAGATGCAATCCTGGCTACTCATAACACCATCACTTCTATTACATCATGCATTGAGAACAACCCCTATGGTCTCAACACTGTCGTCTCAGATCTGACAAAATTGACCAACGCTCTCGGCTCGGCTCCTCCATCCTCACCTCTTATTCTTTACCTCTCTGTCTCCGCCCTCCTCCGCCTTCTTTCGCCCATTGCCCCAGCACTGACTTCGGAGTCATGGGAAGTACTGCACAAGTCCCTAGTTCAAGGGGCCAGTCCTACCACCGTTGTTCCATCCATCCATGCCTCGTCCTGGCCAACTCCACTTCTCTCATCCGAACAGGTTGACGCTCTTTCTGCCCGTGGGGGCCAGACTGTGGCTATCCAGATTAATGGAAAGATGCGATGTGCTGTCAATATTCCACGGATGCCATCTGCTGCGCCTACCTCCCAGGGAAAGAAATCCGGTCCCACGCAGGAAGAACAGGAATGGATAATAGGCCATGTTCTGGAGACCACCGAAGGCAAATTTTGGCTGAAAGAAAAGAATGACTGGGAGAAGAGACGACGGGTGATAGTTGTGAAGGGTGGTAAGCTGGTCAACGTTGTATTCTGATCAGGGCTTGGGTCACATACAACTCATACCCTCCATTCTGTATTTTAACATCCTCAAATAGACATGTACACTAGACATAAAACCTTTGGAAACAATTGAAACAAACCATCATTTCATTGACCATCTTAAAACAATCAGGTACGACCACCAGTGGGAAGCCGAATCCATCAAAAGTCATACTTCGAAAAAATCTCCGCGCTCGCCTTCTCGAACTCCCGCACAATCGTATCCTTCCTCGCGGTCGACCTGACTGATACCCGACAAGCAAACGGCCTCGCACCGAGAACCAGCCCCTCCTTATACCCAGTCTGCGGGCCAATATCAACATCAACAGGCAAACCAGTCTTCTCATCCACCCCGGGCCCAATATCAAAGGCCCAAATGAGCTTCACAATCGCCAGGAACAGATTACGCTCTGCAAGGTGCATCCCAGGACAAATCCTCCGCCCAGCTCCATACCCATAATGATCACGCTGATCAACGTCAAGAACACTCGCCAACTGCGGAGCAATCGCCGTCTTTCCTTTAAAATGATCCGGATCAAAGACATCTGGATTAGAAAAATATGCCGCGTCACGGTGAAGGCCCCACACATTAACTATGACCGTCGAGCCTTTAGGAATAAAATAGCCGCCGACCCAATCATCTAATAAATAAGGTCAGTCTTGTTCGCGGTTTTCAATGCATGCATCCCGATTTGCCCTCGCACAAAGCCGGATTAGTACTACATACCTTCCGTAACAGCATGCGGAAAAGCAAGCGGAAGAACCGGCCTCCAACGCATAGCCTCTTTAACCGTCATAGCCACATACGGCAGACGGGCATAGTCCTCCCAAACAGGCGTTCTATCTTCGCCAACAATGCTATCAACCTCGCTCTGCGCTTTGCGCAGAATATCCGGCCATTTGCTCATAGCGTGGATGAAAGACTGGATAGCTGTTGCGGTCGTGTCAGAAGCCCCCTCATTCAAGACTCCGCAGAGAAAGTAGATCTGATGGTCTGTCAGACCGAGTTTCTCGCTCTGGTCCAGAACAGAGTCCATCACGGTGGTGCGGGGGTATGTGGGGTTTGCACGGCGCGTTCGAACATGGGATAATAGGCTGCTGTATAGTGAGTCCATGTTTGATCCGAGTCTTTTTGAAGTCTTTGTCCAGTTGTTGTAGAGGCGTTGTGGGAGCCAGTGGAAGATCGGGAATATGTCGACGGGTGGTGTGGCGCCAGGTTCCATTAATTGGACCCAGTCGTCCTGGAGGGATCGAATGCATGAGAATGGATTATGTTGCGTACATTGAATTCTACTCCTAGTAGTAGGACGGACTTAAACTCACCATAATATTATATAAACGAGTCATGTGTGGCGTATCCAAGCTAGGCGTCCGCATACCGAAAACTAATACATCAGCAGCCTGCCACAAATTCAAGGTACACTCGATATCAGACTTACTTATACTCATAGCAACACTGTTACTAAACCTCTTCGGATGCAGCATATGTTGATCCGGCCGCTGGCAAAAATCGAAGAGCATCTGGACAGCCTCGGCATTCTGCACCGGAACATAATCCTTCTCCACGACCGACTCCATGAAATTCTGATGAACGAGTTTGCGGAAAACACGCCATAGCGGCCCATATTGCATTACGAGCATGTGCTCGCCTTGGGTGATTAGGTTATCGGATACATACGATGGAGGGCGCTGGCTATATTTGGAACTTCTTTTGTCGATGAGTTCGCGGACAAGGTGGCGGTCTGTGAGGACGATGGAGGTCCCTGATCCTATTTTTATGGAATATATTCCTCCGTATTGCTGGGCCCATTCTGTGAGTCTGGGAACTATTATTAGTAAAATATAAACAATGCGGATAGAATAGCCCTTGTATCATAAAAGGAAGACTCATACTTGATGAAGGCCCCGGTCTTAGGAAGCTGGTGTAGGTTTCCTAAGATGGGGATGGTTGGAGGACCTGAATAATGTCACTATTAGTTGATTCGAATCAATAACAAGGTCACTCATTCAAAATTCAAACTGACCAGGTGGAAGATTCTTGCCTCGCCGCCCTGAAGTAAGGCAGGCATAAACCAAACCACAGAGTCCAAAAGCGAAAAGTAACACAAATATCATCACGTCAAACAACGAACTTCTTTTTGTTCAAAGATCGATAATACTACGAGGGCCCCTCAATCGTGAAAGGTGGCAGAGATATGCCAACTTGAAATACACACGACAGCTGCAGTTATTTAAGCCATATTCCTCAACGTCCTATCAGTGGCAGGTATATCCAAGCGATTCGCCTCCATTGCACGAAACAACGTAGCTGCATTTCGCCGCAGGATTTCACATCTTCCAAACGCTCCGTATCTATCGTCACTGAGCAAACTATGCATGGTGCTTATGGAAAATGATTCTCCGATTTGCCCATGGAGTGGGGTACTGTGTCCGAATATGCAGCTTGCTGTCATATGTAACATTGGATGAGGGGGGTTCTGCCTCCAGCTTGATGGGCCAGGACAGCAGTATGAGTGACGGGGTCCTGATAACGGTCGCTCATAGAATACCAGGATAGACTGACAAAGCGGGTTACTACATCTTATTTGAGACTCGGGTATATTATCACATCTTGATCTATAGGAGGAGATACTGAAGAGAAAGGGATGCCACCCACCTTCTACCCGAGCTAGAGGATGGAAAATCTTGAATAGAATCGACCCGGATCTAAGATCCAACTCCGTGTGGAGACTTTCGAGTCTTAAAGTGGTAACTATGTAGATGGATGTTTCTCGCAAGGCGTGCGACAAGGGGTTGTTGATCTATTGCGGGACAGGCACAGATAGGTAGGTACCCGGGCGACGGCGTAGTCAGGTCAGGTTTTATATCACGAGCTCAACAGCACACAAACTGCTAGTTCCCGAGTTCCTGGCCAGAAACCTGCCACTATTGAGCTGGCAGGGCAACTTGTCTTACTTTGTTGGCTTTGAAGGGGCTGGGGCTGGGCGGCTGCAAGGGCTGGAATGTGTCTCAGTGTGAACCGACCCGAGGAGGTTTGGGTGATTTTGGGGCGACCTGCAAATTTCGAAAGATGAAAGTTTTTTTTTGGAAGTGATCGTGTAGATATTTGAGTTCTGTGGTCTTCTTTTAGTGAGGCAGATCCGATTGTTGCCTAGGTCACGGAAATTGAAATATCGAGGATCTAGGGATGGTTCCATTTTTCTCCGTCGTTGGTGTTTTGGTATTACAAAGTTGTACCTAATAGATAAGTAGATAGAATTAGTAGCGATCTGGAATTCTTATGTGAATTATAATTGGTAGAATTAAATATTAATATAATTCAAGATTGAGCTCAGTCTATCGAAGCACAGCTTCGATGCGCCGTAAACTGACAGTCCTAAGAACAGACAACATGAACCTAACTGAACATGATTTTGACTGCCTTGTCACCTTCTGGCCTCAATAAAATTTACAAAGTCAAAGATTTGCTCTACTAAGCACTGGTTCCTAACTTTCGAGGTTTATTTTTCAATTCCAAGTCACGATATCTATCTAGAATGTTCATGCTTGACACTGGAAGATCCTCGATCCTGTCGTAACAGTAATGGGACGCCCTGATACGTTCATGATCTTTTCAATGGCGTGTAGGAGCCCCGGGTCCTTTGCTGCAGCGCCCATGATGTCAATTACTACTGGTTAGTATTCAGTTCTCTTGGTGATCTTTGACTCATATGGTACCTCGCCAATAGTAATAGCGATATCGGGGGCGCCTAAGATGGGTGGAAAAACAAGCTGATCTAGCGCAGACTGCCAACTGGGCGATGGCGACGACTCGTCCCTATAATTCAGAGCAACGTTTCCAATTGGAAGAACAGACAACGGTTCAGCCTCATTGGTATATTTGTCAAGCATTGTGGCAATCAACCATTCCCTATAGATGTCCATCCGCTGAACGGCATCTTTGTGCTGTTCTTCAGACACAGCTGCCTCTCTTTCCCATTGGTATTGTAGGATCAGGCCGCTGCCAGAATCTAATTTGTGATTCATGGCATACTCACGAAGTGGGCTTCGGCTTGACTGCTGCTAGAAAAGTTCTATATGCACCATTGTGCAGCCGATAAACCTGCTTTAATGCCTTTTCGATGTAGAGGTATGGACCTAGCTGTAAGTTCCAAGGATTGCCTTTTTGCTTTTCCATCTGAATCCAGCGATTACCGAGTAAATTCAGATATTGTCGACTGCTAAGTGACACGGTATGCGCTGCCATGACTCGGGTTATAATCAAACCCGCCAGAGATGTTTCTTTGGGCTGGAAGTCACTGCTAAATAGTTGTCCAAGGTAATCGTTCCTAGTTGGGCTGAGAGGTGTTCCATCCTCAGTTTCTACTACTGTCACGAGCAGCGGACCAGCGTCCCCCGTAAGATCTTCGGTCAATTCAAACTACAATGATCATCTGTCAATTTCTCCGGGGGCGTGCGATAAAGGGGAAGAGGTATCTCCTACCGGAATGTGCCCAGTAGCGACATATCGCAAGTCTCAAATCGAAAAAAATAAACATCCATAGATGATCCTCCAGCTGACCAATTTGGGGTTAGCATGTTCAAGTTGGTTTTATCGAGTCCTCCCCCGATCGAACTTCTATTTCGGGTCTTGTGTCTCGCTGAAAAACATGGCAAGCGTCGCAACATTGTGTCAAGTCGTGCTCTTCGCTCCTTTTAGCTCAGTTCCACAATACGACGTCCGACTTAACAAGTGGCGAGAATGTAATAGCTATCACAGAAAGGATATTGTGCGCCGGGAAAACAAGTTTTTTTTTTAGTCAAAATACGGTTTAATATTGATTGGGGGCTTGAAAACCTTGGAAGTGGGTTGCGAACAACCTGAACTTGGGTGGAGGGTGAAAATTGAAGGGGTTGGGGTGAAGGAGGAGAGTCAAGCGGCTGCCAGTGAAAGATAGGCAACACACTGGCAGGTCAAAGAAATTTCTATGACTTGGCAACCCTTTTGGTAATTTTTGGCAGGTGTATATCTATTAAGTGTAATACTTGTGGTAATTGCCATTGCCATTGCCATGGCCGATCCATTTTTTTTTACTAGTAACTACAACTAGTAGTAGGTATATATACCTAGTGTGTAACAACAGCAACCTTGGAACTACTATCTCCAACTACTCCCAGGGCTATTACCTACCCACTGCTCGTAGTAGGTAGATGAGTACTACTCTGAAAGTGCCACTAGTAGTATATAGGGTATCAAAACATCTATAAATTAGTAGGTAATAGTATGGTTCGGGCGCAGTATAGTGAACAAGTATTTTATAAGAAAATAATAAATGTCACAGGCATATTTGTGCCCGTGATGGGTTCTGCACCCGCGGTGCACCCATATTCCAGGTCTAGAAACAGGAAAGAAGATATTGACTCGAAATCTCATCTTCAATATCGAAATCATCTAGCGCCAGATTTAGACTCAGTGAACGATACCAGACCGTAATAAGACTCAGTCAAAGGCCACAGACACTTCGCAAATGCAACCGCCCCAACAACGAGAAGCAGGTAGTACGCAACCGTCCAACCAACACCCAACTGACCATCATCGTCATCAGCCACAAAATTCCCATCCGAATCCTCTTTGCCACGGGTATTGACCGGTACCCCGAATTCCTCTCCCGCTTCAACGCGGCCCCAGAACCGAGGTAACCCGCACCAGTTGCAGAAACTGTGGACCAAAATGACTGCGATCAGGGATCCAGTACGGAGGTAAATAAATGTCGCATACCAACCGAAGATGGTGGTGTAGCCGAATTGGAAGAGCGATCGTAGCAGAGCAGCCACAGCCGGCGTATCGGGGTGAGTGAGTCTAAACTCGTAGAAATGATGCACATGCGCGATGCCAAAGTACAAGGGTGCGATGAATACCACTCTCCCAGGCGAAATATGCGCTAGAAGATGCAGTGGGATAATGGCCGACCGGAACATCACCTCCTCAGTGATGGGGCCCTGTATAGAGTGTCAGTTATCAAGTTATCAAGCATAGGGTTCAGGTTCCCTGCCAGTTGGCATCGCGGGCCGCGGGAACCATGGTAGAGAACCAGGGACACTCAAACTTACAGCGACATAATTTCTCCAGCCGATCCAGCCGCTCAGGCTCTCTGACAATTTACTGCGACGAAACCACGTCCGCCATTCGCCTTCGACAATGCCCCTTTCGAAGAGGGGACCCAAGAACAAGATGGCTGTTAGCAGTAGGCTTCGGAGAATATCCGCCAAGTCGATAGGCCACCAGCCGAGTAAACTCAACGCCGCGCCGAGGGAAGAATTACCCTCCTCGACAATGAGCCATAGCACAATGATGGAACTGGCGATGCAGGAACCCGTGACAGCGCGGATGCGAGCGCGTATCACAGAGGGCGCATCTCGACTCAGAGTTGGCGATGGCCGCGTGGCGTGCGACAGATAGAAAGGCAAGACATAGAGTAATGTAAGGGCGACCTGGAATTTGATGAGTTAGGAAGGGAAAGCGAATGATCAAAACTTTTTTTTTTTTTGAGTCCAATTCTAATTAAACACCCGAGGAAGGGGGGATGGGGGGAAGTCTCACGGAGAAGACGACGACGGTGTGTACCGACAGTGAAGGCTCATCTAGCGGGCGGTGTTAGCTGATGTGTCCGAAGTTTGCTTGGGGGGGGGAGGAACTCGGGAGATCGAGTTATTTCCCACTCACCCTGGCCTTTGGAATACAGACTCTTCAGACGTGCGAGTATCCCTACAGGAGCCATAGTGGGAGGACACGTCGAGAAGTGCGTCGAGAAAGAGTGATATCGACTTGGGCTTGGAGGTTCAAAGGCGACAACCTTTTGATCATTTCAAGTTGGCCCGTCTTCGGCTTGGGGCCATGAAAGGGTGTGACCATACACAGATACAAATACACAGCTATAAGCGGGAGAAGCGTGGCAGTGTTTGGTAATACAGAAACACACCATGGAACCACGGTTCAGCCGAAGTGTGAGTACAAAAGAATATCAAAAATCAAACATCAACAACAATCACCAACAATCAACTGTCATCTCTCAATGACGGCCCTCTCTTGTATTCTCCGTATTCCATCTTTGGGGCTATAATTATCGTCCAGACCAGACCATCCTCTCGTCCCGAACCGGTGGACCGAGCGTGCATCCGACTCGTGGCCCGAAAGTGAGGCATCATATGCACCTCCCCCTGCTGTCCCTGTCCATCCTCATTTCAATATGAGTCAATGCGAGGGGACTGAATCGTGGTCAACAAATTCTCCGACCTCACGAGCAACCGTCCCAGGTGGGCTGCTAGGGGATCCAAATATTGTTCAAGAGTCAGCGAGGGCGAGAACGAGAGAGAATGACAGATCCGCCCAGAAATTGCGCTAGAATCCTTGACAACGCATTGACTCCACCCGAGACTGGGGCTGGGCTGAGAGTGACTTTTCAGGATTTGGCTCGCAATCACCAGGATCGTCAACAGGCACAGGAGTGTACATACATGTATGTACAGTAGTGCATAGAGCACACACTCGCTAGACAAAACTCCCCTCTCTGGCCCCTCCCAGTCGGGTCTACAGAACAGAACACAAACTCTGTGAGAGGAGAACAAAATGACCACTGCAGCGTGTGCAGAAGGCGTAACTCTGTCAGGCAACGCGCCCGAAAATCCATCCTCACGGGCGCGTCTCCACCAATCGTCACTGGCCCCCGCGAGGTCAACGGTGCTCTAGGGCCGTGCATGGCTGCATACCCCTGGGGGGTCTGGATCTACTGTGATAGGCGCTGGACTCTGCTGGGCCCTGCCTTGCTCGTCGGCGCTTCACCGCCGCTGGGCAACAAAATTCCTGGCCCCCCTTGGTTCGTTTTGTGTCTCATGTTTTGTGTGCGGTGTTGTTTTCCAGTCGTTCTGTTCCCCGTCCTTCTTTTTTGAAACTAATGACCCTTTTCGTTCCTTGTCGCTCTTTTTTTTAATGGCCTGCAACGTCTGAAACGACCTTCTGATTGCCCCTCTGACGACCTTTTTGACGTCTTTACGCTCTTTTACACACCAAGAATTCGGCCCTATAGAAGTACCACTTATCGATATCGATCAAACTCGACCCCCCAGGGCGAGGCATTCCTTACATCAAGCCAATATAGGAAAACAACAACAACTCCCTTTTCGGTTAACGTCATTCATTGTTTATACTCCACGTTGGAGATATTCTTCTGGTTATTAGTCTATTGACGCCCCGTTGGTCCCTCGGACCATGCTCTAATTCTGGTTCGACAACTATGCCTTCACACACCCAGTCGCGCTCACCTCCGCCTCGGCGGCGGCGGGCATTGGAAGAGCGAAGCTCTGCCCACAACAATGAAAGATCCCCTACACGGTCTCTGCGCATGGTCCATGATCAAGATGATCATGACCAAGAGGATGTCGACATCTATACCGCCACTCCATTTCCAACAAAGCCCGAGCAGATCCTGTTGCCCATTCCCGGAAAAGGGCAACAGAAGTATATCGCAGACACTGGATTCAATTATACAGCTGCCGCTGGACCATCCTCCGCAGCCTGGCCTTCGCCGGCTCTTAGCCATGGGGCTGCGAGCAGCGTTCGAGAACAGTCAGTCGGTGAGATTTGGGATGTTTCTTCTACAGCAGACACAGGCATGTCGCCGCCACAGATGTGGGATGAAGATCCCCTTTCCAGCAAATCGTCTCTCCCGGAAATACAATCACCAAAGACCATGGATCATGACTCTGACAGTTCAGAGGCGGAGTTCTCCGATGACGACCTGATCGTGTTACCAACAGCCACCCCGACAATCAAAGCAGTGGTATCTGAGCCACCAACCTCGCCCAAGTCCACGATAGATGATGACGATGATTCAACTGAGATTGGCTTCTCGAGTCCAAATGTCGAGCCTATTGGTGCACCTTCGAGCCCCAACTTCGTGACCCTCGACAACTCAAGCATGAACTTCTTGCCTCCAAGCATCCCTTTCAATGACTCAGACCCTCGCTCAAATTCCTTGTCCTCCTGGAATTCCCGGGGAACGGCTGTGCGTCATGCCGGTGCCGCGCCGTGGATCTACGCCGTAGGCTCGTCCGAGCAATTGAGTTCTCGCTCGCCATCTTTCCATTCCAGCCCGCCTCTCCGACCTGTTCGTTCATTCCGCTCTGTCTCAAGGCACCATTCCAGCAGCCGATCACGATCTACAACTTCAACATCGTCACGAAGCCTACGTTCAGTGTCTGACATTCAAGCTGCCATTGACAGTGGTGTCCCCGTTCAATTCCCGCGGATCCGTGCTCCATCCTCGAGCTCGCGGGCTGATACATCAGCTTCTTCCGAACGCGACTTCACACCTGGTCCAGCATCTGGTCGCTGGAACCCACACTTGTCGAGAGTATCTTCAGTGTGGTCTGACGAAGATGTCGCCAACCCGATTCCCACGGCCGAGGAGGTCGACGAAGAAGAAGTTGCCATCGATGATTCAGAGCCGGCTCTTCCCCCAGTTGCAGCTCTCAAACCCAAATCATCCCAATCAACAGTCTGGCTAGTCAAAAACTCCCACGAGGAAGAACGCTTGGACAGCTTGTCCAATCTTCCAACCCGCAATGGCTTCCCGCACAGTCTCTCGTCCGGATCCAAGCGCAGCAACAGCATGCGAAGCGTCATTCGCCCAGGCACAAGCTCAAGCACGGTTTTCCACATTCTCCCGACCTGGGCTAAGATTTACTACCGCGCGGATCCAATGGGCCTCCATCCTTCCTTGTCAATCAAACACGCCAGCCGCCCATCCTCTGCACGCCCCGGAACCAGCAACTCCAGTGTTTTCAACTTGATGCCCACGCCGCTCAATATCCCACGACCGCGTTCCCCTGATCGTGAACGGCCTCGCTCGCCTGAACGCGTCCGTTTCGCCCAGCGCCGTATCGAAAGTGACCCCCGCGACCCGCGAGCTCACTGGGTCGCAAACCCCGAAGCTGAAGGTAGTGAGCTCCACGGACCACCCCGCCGACTACGACACAGCTGGTCTCCACACCTATTCACCGATCGTCGAACCATTCAGAAGTCGGCTAGTGCATGGACGGCACCATCAATGGACTCAACGAACGAGCCTCTCTTTGGACGAAGGAACATCCAGGTCTATTCCTTCTGCCTGGGATTCATTTTCCCCCTCGCCTGGATCATCGCTTCGTTCCTGCCTCTTCCAGCTATGCCTAAGCTGGGACCCGAGATGACAGAGTCAGACGACGATGTCGAAATGGCTTTGGAAACGCAGCTGTGGAACCTTCAGAGGCGGCGGTACAACAATGCTCGGTGGTGGCGCAATCTCAATCGCTGGATGATCTCGCTCGGTGTCGTTATCATCGTCATCATTGTAAGTTCGACCGAGTGCATGTACACGTGCATGGTTTTGAAAATCAAGGCAGAATTCTAACAAAATTTCAGATCACGCTGGCTGTCATTGGCACCACAACTGGATTCTAATCCGTCCAATCTCACTCTCGCAACTGCAGTACTTGCTTTTTCAACACAATCTTTCACGACTCTCTCTTCCTCATACCCCTCCTGCGACTCAGGCAAAATTTCTTACCATATCAACCAACGCCTCCTTCATTGACTTCGACTGTTTTCCATTTTCTGATGAACCGAACCGACTCTCGGAATTGTTTTCCCCAATCACCTATACGGCTTTGATCTCATTTCTCACTTCCTGATTCAATCACACGATTCAATCACTAGGCTAATGCCTCTTGTTACATTCCCTGTTCGAGGACCCTTTCCCTCGCATTTGTCTATTCCCCTTCTCTTCGCTGAACATTTTGAAACGACTCACATGAAACGACTATACGCACCTACATAATATTCCCCCTATTTTCTTTCTTCTTTCTTTACTTGCTTTGGTGAACCTGAGCAATATATTCTCCCTGTCCGGGGCTTTTCTTTCTCTTCTTGATGGATGGCTGTCCATCTGTGTTTGGATATATTATATACTCATTGCACTTTTCTGGCTTTTCATGTTCGATTACTTGCATTTTTGGCATGGACCTTTCTCTTCAGATACTGTACGGATATTCAATCTATACACTTTTACTTACTTGGAACTATCGAGCATCAGATCTCTATTTGTAGTAGCCCACATACGATGCGAGCAAGATCAGCATGTAGTAGCACTGGTCGAAATACTGAAAACGAAGAAAGAAGAAGCACAAGGGACGGTAAGTCAATCCTGACAGATATTTGCGACGCCTTCCAGAATATTGTATCCATTATCAATCGTGTTAAGACTCCTCGGCTTCATCATCTGTGTCCCAAAATGTGTCATCGTCAATCTGCTAATTATCCTCCTCGCTTGAAGTATTCCAATCTTCATTAGCATAGGGATCCGAATTGCTGCAATCGTCCAGGTCCGACTCAGACAGTGCGTCCCTACTGACTGACACGGGCGGTATTTCGGGCAAATTACTTTGCAGTGTTGACATATCAAAAGCTGGTCCAGTTTGACTTCTGCGCAAAAATTGATCGTTGTGCTCTTTGAAAGCAGGTAGTACCTCGTCCTCATACCAATTCTCATTTTCAACGAGGACATCCCAGTCCCAACGTTCCACAATCTCATCGGGCGTGACCTCCCAAAGACAAAGATACTCATCCTTGTAATAAGAATAATCCTTCCCATAAGGGTCTTGTACTTCATAATATCTTAGCTCTGATTCCATTTTAATCATTGGCAGGCCTTTAGCGATGCGAACGTTTGGATTGATAACTATAAGTCTTCTGGAATAGCGTGGTCTCTGTCGCCTGGCCAGAAAGCTTTTAAGCGCCGATGCCGACGAAAAAAATGATATGTATGGCGTTGGCTCCCACTTTCGATAGTCAGCATGTGTGGCCAGTGACTTTTGTCGGCTTTTTCGTGAATCTAAATGCTGTCGAGACAAACGAGCCTGCATTCTCCCTGTTTGATCTGGATGGCTGCCAGAGTTTATATCCCACACGCGAAGACCGGGACCTTGAAAGCAACCAGCATCGGAGAATTCAGCCCATGAGTGTTTCGATGGACCATTCTCCTCACACAAGGGGTCAGTTTGTTGCAAAAGGTTGAAGAGTAGGGTCTGCATTGGAATCGTGAAGTAGGGTTTCCGAGGCTTGTCTAAACAATTTTTGAGCAAAATAAAGTCCAAGTGATTCGTTTGTGATAAGAGAAGAATAGCTGAGAAAATCTCAAGGGTTGTTGCCTACGAAAGTGAGCACCACACTATCATTATATGCCAGCGCTTGGATGACATAATGATAGGCTTAGCCCGGGCAATACAGGCGCAGTCTCTTCGTGGCACCACCCGTTGAAATGCAATGAACAGGGGAGTTATTTTTTACTCACGCGAAAGTCATCGCCCTTGAGGAGGGTGGAATGGTCATTTCAGGATTAAATCGATGTCCCGTTGGCAGTGGTTTTCAAGGGCAGCCTTTTCTAGTTACCAATGAACGGTGTGCTCACAGCTAATGTTCGATCTCCCACCCAAGGAGAATTACCAGGTAAGCCTAGCATTGGAGACTGACTATTTCCTGGCCAAGAGTGCGAGTCACATAAGGTCGACCATGGCCATGGAGTGCCATAGACGAATAAAACGATATCTATGTTCTAAAAGAATACATACAAACTTAGATTAAAAAGAGCTCAGCCCCCAAGTAGATAGAGATGAAAGGGGCTTCAAAACAGTAGAAGAACCAGATCCTCAACAAACCATTATCTCACAAACCACGCCAGAATTTTAAACCAGACCAGTCTGGCTGCTTACAGCTTGCGTCCGATCTTCTGCTCGACAGCGATCTTCAGCTCCTCGCCTGAAGGCATGGTAACGACACTTCCACGACGGCGACGGGACTCAATCTCGCCGATGATCTCCTGCACGACTTCGTCGAAGTCACGCTCAGGGTCATTGGGTAGGCCCAGGGTCGGGGGACGGACTGTTTCCTGGCTGACGGTGCGAGTCATGTGAGGACGATTGCGACGCTTGAGTCTGCCGAGTAGGTAGGCTTTGACTGGGGAAGCGAAGACGGCCATCGAGACAATGATGTTTACGATGCCGTAGTAATAGACGCGCGACCAGACGGCCATTGAGTCGTCGAAGCTGAGCACGATGAAGGGGATTACGGCGAAACCGAGGGTGAGTTGAGTTACGAGCCAGCTGAGGAAGTCGTAGTACCGCTTGGATGGCATGGGGTTGGCTCCGTCGGGCGTTAGGAAGAAAGGGCGGACGTAGCGACGGAAGTCTAGTGTAGACTGTTAGTCAAACAAATCCGAAATCTAAGATTGAGGTGAAAAAGAGACGAGAGCTTACTCTTTGCGACGGTTTGGATGAACGATCCTAGAACAAAAGTCATGTAGTATCCCGGGTAGAAACCATGCCACAGGGCACTAGTGGCAAAGGTAGCCATGCTAGCACGGAAGCCAGGTTTCTTTCCCTTGGGAGTGACACGCAGGTAGACATAGTTGCGAAGCCAGTGGTTGGTGTTCTTGTTCCAGCTGCCGAGGTAAGCGTGTGAGTTCTGGGCGGTTTCCAGAGACCAAGGATCGACGTTCTCGAGGCGATTCCAGAAAACTTTGCCGGACTTGTTGTCGAATCCATTGTAACCCATACCAGAAAGGATACATGCGCCCTCGGTGAGAGACCAGACACCATAGTACTTGAAGCGGGTGGCGAAGCCGAGCATGTAAACAGTAAACACGCGGCGCAAGAAGCCGAATTCCAGGAAGGCATCGGACAGAACGAATTCGGTGGTGAAGTTTCCGCTTAGTTGTAGGAAGACAAAGATCCAGACTAGACCAACGACGAGTTTCTTCACGGCTGGGGTGCCACTGCGGGGAATTTTGCGCTTCTTTCTTGTAGGAGGTACCTTAGAGGGATCGGTGCCAGGGGGGATGTCGAAAAGAGTGGTATCGAGCCAGCGACGGTAGTCAACATACTCGAACGAGGGACCGGCGAAAAGAGAGGGGAAGAAGAGGACATAGCCCAGGTAGTTGACAATACTGGGAAATTCGATGATCGCCGAGTACTTCTGCGCATCGGACAGTGTCTCTTGAGGTTTACGGCCGTCATGAATATTCCAGCAGAAAGAGGAAAGTTTCATGACCATGACCATTTGTGCACCCGTGATGTCGACCACCTGATTATCATCGGCAATCTGACGGTAGATGTGATTGATCGACATGTGACCCATGAGGAAGAGGAAGCCAATCCACGGCATCAGCGACCCGTCCACATAGTATGCGATGGCATAAGTGCCTGCAGCACTGTAGAGAAGAGTGCGAAGTCCATCCCAAAGGTCGAATAGGCCGACGATGTAGAAAAGTGAGACGCTGATAATAAACGCGTTCTTTTTCGCAGGTTGAGCGTCGGGGATGCGCTTCAGGATCGCGGCGAGTGGGTAAGAAAGGAGGAACGAGCCGATCAGTTTTACTAGAAGAGTTAGAAAGACTGGAACTCGAGATTTCAAGTCAAAGATTCGAGGTTTTACATACGCTCATCGACGGATGCGCCTGTGAGGCGAGCAGGATAGTCAAACACTGCGGGGAGCATCATTAGCTTGCAGCTCTGGGGAAAGCTCCACGAGGGACCGGGCCAAAAAGATGCAGGGAAATACTCACAGACATCTATGTAGGGCAACATGGTATCGACCCAGCTTGAAGACCACTAGAGACGATAGACCGCATGCAAAACAAAGGGGAGGAAAGCTGGAGAGGAGAAAAAAGAAACAAGGAAGAAAAGAAAGTTGTGGAGATGGAGAGAGGCTAGAGAGGTAGTGGTGTCATGCGGAAAGCGGACGCGCTCAACATTCAACCAACCTCACCTTCTCCACCTCCCCCCGCGCCTTGACGACACCCACATTCTGATCTTCTTCGACTCTTTGTATCTTTCCATTGCTTGCGCATAGGCGCTATCCCTCACCATGGACGTCGTCGCGGCCGTCTCGGGCTACATCTCCAAGATGGTGACGGCCGGCGAGTCGGCCACGGGGTCTTCATCCTCCAAGATGAAGATCCTGTTACTCGATAGTGAGACAGTGCGATATGCGCTTAACCAATTTCATCCTTAGGACCGATAGCTGACTCCTTTGGGATACAGGTTCCGATCGTCTCGACCGCCATCACCCAGTCCGCTCTCCTTAATCATGAAGTCTACCTCATCGACCGCCTCGACAATGCCGCGCGGGAGAAGATGCGACATCTGCGCTGCTTGTGTTTCGTGCGCCCCTCTCCCGGATCGATTCAGCTGCTCATAGATGAGCTCCGCGAACCCAAATATGGCGAATATTATATCTATATGAGTAACATCATCCGCAAGTCATCCCTCGAGCGGCTTGCCGAGGCAGATAGCCATGAGGTCGTCCAATGTGTACAGGAACAGTTTGCCGACTTCCTGGTCATAAATCCGGACTTGTGTTCTTTGAACCTGAGCTCCCCTCTCTCGCACCTATGGAGCCAATCGCCTGACCTGTGGAATCCCGATTCCCTGCAGAGGACCACCGAGGGAGTTCTGGCCTTGCTTCTGTCGTTGAAAAAGAATCCATTGATTCGATACGAGAAGAACAGTCTTTTGGCTCGCAAGTTGGCTACCGAGGTCCGATACCATCTCACGCAAGAAGAGCAACTCTTTAATTTCCGCCGGACGGATACCCCACCTATCCTGCTCATTTTGGATCGTCGCGATGACCCTATTACGCCACTGCTCACCCAATGGACATACCAGGCGATGGTGCATGAACTGCTCGGAATAAACAATGGCCGTGTCGATCTTGGGAATGTACCTGAGATTCGACCGGAGCTCAAGGAGATTGTCCTTGCCCAAGATCAAGACCCCTTCTTCAAGAAGAATATGTACCAGAACTTCGGCGATCTGGGCCAGAACATTAAAGAATACGTGCAGCAGTACCAAGTAAAGACGCAGACGAACATGAATATCGAATCAATCGCCGATATGAAGCGATTCGTGGAAGATTACCCTGAATTCCGCAAGCTCTCTGGCAACGTCAGCAAACACGTCACATTGGTTGGTGAATTGAGTAGACGTGTCGGAGAACAAACGCTGCTCGATGTAAGTGAGTTGGAGCAGAGCCTGGCCTGCAATGACAACCACTCCAATGACCTCAGGGTAAGTCAAAACAGCTTGCATCCTTTTATTTTTTCTTGGTTTGGCCCCAATCTCTGACAATTCCCAGTCCCTTCAACAAATGATCGCATTACCGAACGTCCCCGCCGAGAATAAACTGCGACTAGTAGCTCTCTACGCACTCCGCTATGAGAAACAGCCAAACAATGCTTTACCAATCTTGCTTGACTTGCTGGTGACTGCTGGCAATGTTCCCGCCAACCGAGTTAACACCATTCCCAACCTTCTCGCCTATCACCATTCGCTTCAAGCCCCGCCAGTTGCCGGTGGATTCACCGATCTTTTCGAGTCAACTTCATTCTTCTCCGGGGCCAGAGACCGATTCAAAGGACTGAAGGGCGTTGAAAATGTCTACACTCAGCACTCACCACGACTGGAAGTCACCCTTCAGAATCTCATCAAAGGTCGTCTAAAGGAGCTGCAATACCCCTTCCTAGAAGGCAGCGGTCACACTCGAGATAAACCGCAGGATATCATCATATTCATGGTTGGCGGCGTTACATATGAGGAGTCTAAGATGGTGGCTCAGGTGAATGCCAGCTCACCGGGTGTACGTGTTGTGCTCGGGGGGTACCAGCATTCACAACAGCACTACTTTTCTTGAAGAGGTCGAAGATGCCGTTGGCAGCTGGCCAGAGCCCGCTCCCACGACAGCTGCGGGACGGCTGCGACGGGAACTTGGACGATAAATGGTGGGATGCTGACGCCCGTATCAATGAAAATCGAATCATGACAAACTGAAAGTGGGTAATTGTTCTCTTCTAAACTATTGTAAACGGGGTGTTGAATTAAGACACATTAGAATGTAGACTAGTTTGCTGTATGGATAGTCTTCAGAATTTCTTTTCATGGCTTTGGTAGTATGTACCACGCTAATACTATGAACAAAAAAAAGTATACAAATGACACAGGTATATGACCTAGAGACAGACGTTGATCCTTATGACGCCGGCGAGATCTTAATCTATATCATTACAAAACAAAAGGGTACGGGGGGACATCATTAGTATGGATGCCAAAACAAGACCTCAATCCCGGGCATGGATGATACAGGTTTCCTTCGCGTGCCAGATGCGTCGTCGTCTCACAACATCCGCGCCAAACGTATCCTTGATGCTGTCATCATAGGGGTCTGCATCTCCCTTAGGCTCCTCGCCGAAGGGGCGTAGGAGTCGTGCCTCTTCGACGCTCGCACCGAACTCGTACTCGCCTCTGCACAGCACTGTCACGCCGATAGATGCTTGCGTCGATTCACCGCTCTGCAGGATTGGTAGAGCCTGTTGTAACATACCACTCCAGGCAAGACGGCGCGTAAGATCCAATGCGACGTTATTCGGTTGGTGGCGGAGACTAGGTTGAAGACGGAGGAGGGGGTGGATGGGACGCGAGGAACGGTTGTGCACCTTGACATTCAGGGTCAAGAGGTCGTCTGTCATGACGCGGAAGCGAGAGCGGCCACTTTGAACAATTGCGTCTGAAGATTCAGAATCGGCAGAGGTAGAGGCCGTTGATGGGGAGGTGAGAGAGAACGACATTTCCACGTCCTCGAGACGCATGGCTTCCACCATGCGAGCGTTTAGGCGGATGTTGCGAAGGTCGATCGATCCCTTGCGGCCAGTAGCTGGCTCGCTCCAGCCACCAATTACTCGTTTCAGGAATTCTTCGCGGAACCAGAAACATTCTCTTGAAGCTGCCTCGGCCTCGAATGTTAATTTGTTCGCGCTGACGACGAATTGTCGGCGTGTACCAGTGTTGACGACGGGGATTGTTGCGTGAGGGTTGTCCAAGTACACGCGGGGTAGTACAAGAACGAATCGAGATGTCTGGCCTGGTTGGAGGTCACCGTCGACTGAGTACTGACCGATGTGGTCCCCTTTGCCAGAAATGGAGTGTTCGTCAACGCGCAGCCACACTGACAAAGGACTTGGCCAAGCATTTCGCAGGTCCAACAATACAACACAGTGATCTGGACCATAAGCTCCATTGCCAAGGCGAGATAGAACCTGAGAGAAGGGGTCGTGATCGGTCGTAGAAAGGGGTGAGTTGGGCTCTTGCTCGGACTGGATAGGAGAGTTGATGTTGTTTCTCCACGCAAAGTCACCACTGAAAGGCAGGACATCGCATCGGGCAACCTCGACGCTTGCGTTTACAGTCACAGTCAGCGGTACAAACAGCTGTCTAGTATAGAAAACCTCGGGTAGATCATCTTGTTTGGTTCCAAGGCACGAGTAATCAATCTGCACAGTCGTATCTTGTAAACCAGGTTTACCAAGAACGTCCACTGTAAAGGTGGCTTTCTGTTTGGGTGGGATTGAGCAATCCTTCGTGTCCGAGTCTTCGCGGCGCCATCGCAAGGCTGGCTGCGTGGCTAGCTTCAATTCCAACTCGTAGATTTCCACTGGAAGTAGGTTTTTGTTTTTAAGAGCCGATTGCAGTTGTTTAGTGGTCGAGTCCTGGAATGTGAACAAGACAAAATCCACTGGACAAGAAGAGGTATTTTGCAGAGTGATAGTGAATGATCTAATTTCGCCCTCTAGAACCATCATCGCAGATTGCGAGAGTGACATCGACTCGATGACCAAAGACGGTTGTTTGCCGATGACTTTGACTTGGCATATTTCTGTTTCAGGGCCCTTTTTGGCGAGGGTCTTCCCATCCTTTGATGTTGTCGAACTCCATGATGTTGGACGTTCACTGAGAGGTTTCTTTGCTGCCAGGCCTGTTCGCTTGAATTTGACCTCTGGGTCGGGCTTCCAGAAGGATTTGAAAATAGGGAACTTCCGCTTCCGACAATTTCGTACCTTCACAACGCAATTGGAGATGTCGAGGTTTCCGTCCTCGTGGGCTGTCCCCAGAACAATGACTTCCTGCATGCAAAGCGGAGGAAGAGTGATATTCTCCGCGAAAGCCTCAAAAGATAAGCCTTCGCCTTCTAACTCCAAATGTTCGATTTCAATTTCAAACTCATAAGGATTCTGGAGCGTGACGCGGAATGAAGCAGGCTCATTCATCACAGCAAGCATCTCAAGAGCCTTGCTGCTTGGCTTGGCGAAAGGGTTGTATAAGAACGGGTCTTTCTTTGACTTATCAGAGCCGGTTGTCACGGCCTGCAGCTCAGTCTTAGACCTGCGTACAGGTCGCCTAGGAGCTGGCAACGCAAGCAGCTGTACATCGCGCACAAGGAAGTCATCCCAATATTCTGCAGCCATATCCGAAGCTCCCAGTCGGTTCGCCGCACCGACAGTTCGCTTTATGTTATTCAACAAGCGAATTTGCTCATCCTGAGGTAAGTATGGAGGTACTTTGTAATTCTCGCCGAGCATTAAGTCTCCTCGAATAGTTTGCATGAGCTCGACGGTGAAGCGCAAGACACCATCGAAGTCAGGAAGTGCTTCACAGCAGTTGATACATGCCTTGAGCACGTCAATCTTGAGGTTGAGGTCACCATATCGGTCCAGAACGCAGTGTCGGAATGAACGTTCTGCGATTGCAGCAACTGAGTCATAGTCACCTGGGGAAGATGACTGGCTAAGACGCTTCTCCCATTCATAGAACGAAGAGGGCTGAACACCATATATCTCGCCTATCGTGGCTAGAAGAAGACGGAGACTCGATTCCATATTGCCAGGGCCCACATCAAGAGCATTGACATCGAAGACAGTGTCGCTTAGAGAGGCTAGTCCTGCAGCGGGGTGAATGCCTACTTCCGCAGCGCCAATCTTCCGAGCCTGTACAAGGGTAGGGATCATAACAGACAGAAGCTCGCGCATCACAAATGCTTTCTTCCGCGGTAAATCGAGAATGTTCAAGACAGAAACAACACCGACTATGATAGGAACATAATCGGTGGCCGGTAAGTCTGCACCTGGGGAAAGCGGAAGGGCACGGAAAAGGAAATTGGCGATGTCAGTCTTTCGAAGTACAACTGTTCCCCGAGGTAGTTCCGGCTGGTGCAAAGGAACGAGAGGCTCATTCATGACGATATGCTTCAATGCATTGTCGTCGAGTGAGCCATCCCGAACACGTGCAGACACCAGAAGCCTTGATAATCGGATCACCGTTTCTGAAAAGACCAGTTGGGGAAGAGGCTCATCGGTGATGTTGGCAGCGCGGTTGTGAAGGTTCAGAATCGTATTGGAAAGATCTGGCAATAGATTGGCTAGATTTTGGAGAGATACTATCCGATTACCCGGCGTGGGAGCATTGATGGAGTCTCTGATTGCCTTGTTCGTTTTTTCGGCAGCTGGATAGAGCACATTGGGGATCTAGACGCTAGTTAGATATTTGCTCTGCCGTTTCATAATCATGTAAGGGGTGAATACCGTAAAATCCATACCTGCCCACCCCATCATAAGAAGACAAAGCAAAATGGATTCAAGTGCCTTGCCATGCCAGATATAATCGCTTCCTGCTCGTGCATTATTCGCCGCTTCAGACAGCTCTTTGAGAGCATCAGGCCACCTTCCCGCCTGCAGGAAAAGAGTACCAATAACAACTCCAGCGCGGCCTTTGATTCTATTCTTCGTTCTATCGGTAGCACTCAATCCGCTAACAGACAATCGATCCCGACTATGCTCCTTGGGCGAACTTATCGAAGGACTTCTACCCCCGGAGTTTGTGCGCGATAGATGAATCGACCGTGTGATTTCATCGAAGGTTGTGGGAGTTTCGTGATCGCTGGGAGCGGGTGAGCTGGCATTGGAGCTTAATGGTGTTTCTGGTGGTCCTCCATTGGGGTTTGAAGGGAGCTGTGCGGGCAAGGTCATACGGTTCAGTAGTCGGTCTACTGGCCGAGGTCGTAGCTCGGGATTGCGATGTGGTCCCCAAGACGAAGCCTTGGGGGAATCGATCGACGGGATACTTTGAATTGTCTTTGCGAACTCATCGAGCTCCCCAAGTAGTACCGATGTGATGTCACACAGAACCGTTTTCATAGTCGTCGCTTTCGAGACATCAGGGCGAGGAACCCAAAGCACATTGTCCGGTCCATTTGTGAGTTTTCCAAGGCCTTCATAATCAAACACTAGGAGCTGGTTCACCAATGCCCGCGGATTCCTTTCCTTCACCACATCAAGCTCCTCTAGCAATGTGTCCAGACCCTCGGGTGTGGGGTGTTTCTCATTTGTCCCAGACGTCTGCGGAAGCTCCGTTCCGTCAGCAATTGCGATGATAACTAATGGTTCTCGATATATTTCGAATGGGAACAGCTCGAGGTGTGAAGTGGGGGGAACCGAGAAGGATAGGTCGTAAAGGATCATGCCGGTGGGGAATGCGAGAGGAGAAAACATGTCTGGAGATTTGAACCGTCAGCATCACGGGTCGAGTATTTGGTTCTATCCTCTACCCAAAGGGGCCATGGCATACTTCTATTTGGTCGTGAATCGGGGCTGATATCCCCTAACCGGACCACATTCTCAGCTTGGAGTCTAGCAGCAAAGCTCAAGAACCGCGAGCGCTTGATTCTGCCAATTGGAAGTAGCAACGCCCTCAGGCGCGCCGGTGCGATTGGAGACAAGGGGTCGACCCCCATATTGTCATTTGAGGGAGACCGAAGAAGCGGTTTGCGATATCAGGCCCGCATTCACAGCAGTATAACCGGCCTAACGTCCAAGCGTCATGCGACAGAGGATGCGCCGCAAAATAGAGGAGTGCGCCACACTAGATCGAACGTAGTGACTGTACTAGCAGC